GAGATTTCATGAAGGTTTTATACCATAGTTTTTAAAAAATGTCCTCAAAATTACCCGCTTAGTTGACCAAAAAAGAGTCACAGAAACTACAAGATGTTTAGCTGTAGGCTTCAGTCTTTCTTGCGAAACATTTCTGTGTTTTTTACTTTTCTTACTCGGGAAATGAAAAGAAAATCATTAGTCTGCTTCACTTTTTCTCCTGATTCTTTTTTTTTTTTTTGCGCTACACGGGCCTCTCACTGTTGTGGCCTCTCCCGTGGCGGAGCACAGGCTCCGGACGTGCGGGCTCAGCGGCCATGGCTCACGGGCCCAGCCGCTCCGCGGCATGCGGGATCTTCCCGGACCGGGGCACGAACCCGCGTCCCCTGCATCGGCAGGCGGACTCTCAACCTCTGCGCCACCAGGGAAGCCCTCTCTTGATTCTTTACTGTGTTTTTTTCGAAAGGGTAGTGGAGAGCAGTGAAGATTGAAAGGGGGAGGAGGGAGTGTTATTAGATGGTTTGAAAACAGCTCAAGCACTGAATTACACTGTTTGTGAAGAAAACTCTACAGAGGGGGCTGAGCAGGAAGGGCCGAAGGGTCAGCGCCGAGTGTCACTGCCCCGGCTGCAGGCACGGAAGATGCTGCTGCCCAGAGTTCTGGGCTCTAGGGCCATAAAGCTCTGGGGGAAGAGCTCTTTCCTCACTGCAGAAGTGGGTAAGAGGCATTAACAGCAATCAAAGAGACAGACAAAATCTGCTTTGGAAATGACAGCCCTAGTGTTGCAGAGTATTCAGAACTCTCTGAAGCTCATCCTCATGGTGTCATAAGTAAAGCGGAAGCCAGTGAAAGCAGGGTCTTCTTCTCTATATTATGTAGTCAGAGGTGGGTCTTGGAGTTTCTTGTACATTATGCATAACGATGCCAGTCTCTGTGAGTCCTGGAGCCCACAGACCCCCGCTGCACTGAGTGGGTTCGTGTCTAGCTGGCTAAGGGCTCAGGGCTCCTGAGATTATAGGCAGGAAGTGGGGACTCAAGACAGCACTGTGTTGTGTGGTCATTCCATCTATCAGTAGTCAAAAGTGAACCATTTTATTGGTAAGTTCCATAGAAAAGATAGGTTTTTTTAAAAACCACTTCTGTATTTAGCATCGGTGACTTAGCTCCGCATTGGTGGGTAGCTTCGTTTTAAATCCCAAAGCCTGCCATTCATACATATACTGTAGGCTTTTTTGGCCTGGGGTCCATTTCATTATAGGCCCTTAGGCCTGGATAAAACCTAAAAACAAGTGGACTTTTGTTAACTGTTCACTATCGTATATGTAAGTAACGAATTCTCAGCTTGCAGTCAACATAGCTCATATATAGATTAATAGCTTACCTCGAACTAAGTATACGCTACATGGAGGCACAGCTGCCAGTGGTGCCCGTGCCTCGACCTTTACATGGTAATTAACCACACTCTTCTGGATGTCAGGTGTCACATAATGTAAAATCGCCTCCTCCTGTATTTTTCCAGTCTGGGTGTAGAGGGGTCCTGGGAGAGATGCTTGTTCTGTTCACCTCCTGATGTCTACCTTTGGGGGAAGAAAGTCTGAAAAATAGGACCTGCCTTGCTCCTGCTGGAGGTGGTGGCTCTGCTGTTATTAGGCTCCTGACGTTTTCTATAGGATGTGCTGCCAAGTAGATGAGAGAGGAGGTGGAATCTAAAGATCAGGGTTTGGCCAAACACAGAAGCCACCTGTAATGTAGGGAGGGGTTCCGAGAGGCTTCAGGACTAAACTAGACTGGGAAACAAGACTGTTTGGGTGGCCAGGGAAAAGGGCTCTTCCGGGTAACGCGATACAGCGGTGATGAAGTGAGTCTTTGCCCAGTCTGCGCTGTCATCTTACCGCAAGGCTGTCAGCATCCTTCATCTCTCTCTCTCCTGCCCGTTCCTGGTGAAATGTGGGGATATCACAGCTGGAGGACCGCAGCCTCCCAGAGAAAGTTCAGGAGAGGGCTGGCCCGCGACAGAGACTAAGGTAGCTGGAAAAGGGATGTAGGATAAGTTCACCTCCTGGCCGTGTGCTTTGCCTTGATCATTTCCCCCCATAGGAAAATGGGGCACTTGTAATGTCATGGGGAGTTTCAGGTAGAGTTCCCATACATGTTACCATGATAGCAGGGTTGCCGAAGTGTCTTCAAAGCAAAGCCGTTATTTGTGGCGCTCTCAGCAAACAATTTGCAAAGTGATGGAGTCAGCTGAATTTAAGGTTCCCTCTACTGCCTGCCTGATGAACCCCTTTGCCTGTTTCTAGGTGGGCTTAAAAAAGGAGAGAAGGAAAGTCGGCCACAGCGTTGTGAGCTGGGCTCCTGCCGCGCTGCTGAAAGACTTAGCAGCACACTTCCTTGTGCAGTGATTTTCACATGAGGGAAATCAACTCACTTTTCCAAGGAGACTATTGTTTAAAAATAATTTTTAAAATTCTAGTATGTAAATGTATAGGGATTGGGAAATGGGCAAAAATGACAGTAATTGGGTTGGGGCAGTGGGTTTATAGGTAACCTTTTTCTTTACGATTATTTAAAAATTACTTAATTTTTAAAACTTGCAGAGGGAGAAAAAGGTGTGCTAATTGTCTTTGAGGGATACAGATGCTGCCCCTAAGTGTAGTCGGATAAATGTAGGAGCCCCTTCTTCTCAGCAAAGCTTTGAGGGGTCCTTCCTTCAACCCTTCAGACACATTCCTCAGTCGTGTCCCGAAAGGAAATCCTTATTTGAAGCCTCCTTAGTCTAACAGAAGCTTCTGGGGCTGAGCTCTCCCAGCCTCACTCGTGCAGACCACTGGCCGGCTTGTCGTCAGAAGGATGGGCACCTGGGGCGGGCCTCCAGGAGTGCTGGTGAGTCAGGCATCTTGCGGCTGGCAGCATGCACAGGGGCGTCTGCTGCTGGGAATCAGCACGGTCTTGTCAGTGGCTCTTAAAAGGTGGCTTTTCTCCGTCTAAAGTTAACTAGCCCTTCCTTGCAAGGCTCAGACCCATAACCGGGGTCTCACTGGCATCATCTCCCAACCAGGGAATACGCTGACCTACTCAGGAACGAGGAAGAGAAGGCCTTCTGTGCCCCTGGTGTGTGCTCGCCGGTAGAGGCAGAATGGCCTGGCCCCATGACCGGGGCTCCTGCCTTACCTCCTCTTTCGGGCTCCTGCACACACTGTGCTTTCACACCTCTGCAAGGCCACCTTCTCTTCCCTTCTGCGCAGAGTATCGCTCCCTGACTTCTTGACTGGGGAGTTGCTGTTGGTTCTTTAAGGCTGGGTTCGCCAGCCACCTTTCCTCGGGGCATTTTCTTCCCTTTTGTATTCTGTTTTGTTTTGGTTTTAAGATAACCAAAAAAGAGTTAAGGAAAAAAAACCACCTCTCCAGATTTCCCTTTGTTTTCTTCCTACAGTTTGGAAAAGTTCAGAATCACAGGAAGCACTCTACTAGTAAGTAGATTTGTTATAAAAACCAAGATCCTAAAGGAATAAAACTTGGAAGACCGTTGTTAATCTTAAGACTGCTGATGTGGACTGTGTATTTGATTATGCTCATAAAAGTTCCCCAGTTGTTATTTATTTTAGCTGGCTTAGATGTGGGACTATATCTAAATTTAAGGTACTTGCCCCAGAGACTGAAGATGCTGAGCTATGTAGCACGTCATTGGTCTGGTAGTGCAGTCCACTCCCCAGGATCCCTGCAAAGAATGCCTTGATATTGATTCTGGTAGATGCCATCAGTTTTTATTCAGCTATAAATGTTCATATATTGAAAGGAAGTCTTACTGTCTAAACCAAAGAAACTTCAAATTGACTTTGTTTTTGGAAATGTCATTTCTGTTTAAAAATATGTCTTAGTTATAGCGCAATCTTATTTAATTTTTTTTTTTTTTTTTTTTTTTTTTTTTTTTTCC